AGTGAAGTGTGCGGGTGATTCTAAGATGGACGGCACTCATCTGCATGTCATACTGACTGACAGTATTATTTCTCTTCCCCAGCAGACTCCAAGGGCATTTAAATTAAAGGTACAGTGTTCTGCACTAATATAAAGGCTCTCTGAAGCCTAGAAACCCTTTTAATAAGTTAAATTCGCAGCGAATAAATTCGCATCGAATCGAATTGAATTCGGCGAATCAGCCGAATCGAATTTTTGAATAATTCGCTCATCTCTAATAATAAGTATTCATATTTTAATAAGCCTTTAGATAATAAACACATATATATATATACATATAGAAAATAGTAAAAAATAGATCTGTCTGTCTGTCTGTCTGTCTGTCTTATAGCAGATATAGTACATTTTACAGGGAGGTTCTTCTTTATTGGTTTGCGCTGCATTTGCAATGTTCTCTAAGCACTGGACCTCTGGAAGGTGTTACTCCCGTCATGACCCGGCCATCTCTTGCTATTTGGCACTGTGTTACATTAACTGGCAATTGCGCGGTCATGCAACACTGTACCCAAATGCCACTTATATCATTTTTTTCACACAAATAGAGCTTTCTTTTGCTGGTATTGGATCACCAATGGGTTTTTTTATTGTTTATTATATAAATGAAAAAAACATCAAATATGTTGAAAAAAAAATATTTTATTACTTTCTGTTATAAAACATATCCAATAAAACAATTTTAAAAAAATAAAATCTAGGCCAAATTGTGTTCTGCTACATGTAAAAAAAAAAATCCCAATACGTGTATATCGATTGGTTTGCTGGAAAGTTTTAGCGTCTACAAACTCTGGGATATATTCTGGAATTTTTTGATCAGTGATCAGCAGGCAATCTGACAATAGATGATGCTCGATGGGAACTAACTAAATGACACGTCTCCAGTGACACCAATACAGTGATTGGTGATAATACTATACACTGTACTGATGACTAATGGGAAGGGGTTAACATTTAGGGCTAATCAAGGGGTTAACTGTGTGCCCACCAATGTTTACCGTGTGCTGATTTACTAAGCAAGGGAGAAAACAAATGGCATGCCTCTGCTTTCCTTAGAGAGCCCTGTGTTGTTAACCAACACAGGGCTCTCTTCTGTCATTTGCTGAGCCGGTCAGTGGGTCTCGGTCATAAATCATTGGCTGGGACCCACGAGCTGGATTACGTACATGATCTGGCGCAGTATACCTGCAGTAGGCGGTTAAGGATTGTGCATTCAATAATTTTCAATTGCTTTTGTTATTTATTATAGGTACTTATAGAGTGCCATCAATTTACGCAGCGCTTTACATATATAGTGTACATTCCCATCAGTCCCCGCCCCCGAGGAGTGTACAATCTAAGGTCCCTAACTCACATTCATACATACACATACTAGGGCCAATTTAGACAGGAGCCAATTCACCTACCAGCATGTCTTTGGAGTGTTGGAGGAAACCGGAGTACCCGGAGGAAACCCACACAGGCCCAGGGAGAGCATGCAAACTCCAGACAGTTGGTTCTGTGGTTGGGTTTTGAACCAACGACCCGAGTACTGCCAGGCAGAAGTGCTAACCATTTAGCCGCTGTGCTGCCCGGTTATGAACTACTTGTTGATATGCAGGTCATCTACCTACAAATACACAATCATGGGAACATTGGAAGAAAACAATTATTCCTATACGTTATCAAAAATGGTCCAACTGCACCCATCGAGTGTTTCATATGGGGTGTAATTTCTGGATCTGTTGAGTTTTTTTTGAGGTTTAGATCAGAGAGGTGAGTGGTGGTCGGTCAACCTATTGATTGGCCTGAGGAGTAATCATAAGAGGAATTGAATTCTTCTCCACCATCTTGTGAGGGGGGATTACGGCTGTGTAAGGGGCGCTATATTACTGAGCCTTGATATATATATTTTTGGAATTTTTTCTCTTTGGTTCTCCAGCGTGTCCAGTAGACCTTCAAGGTCCCCCCATGGGCCGGGTGGGGCTCGACGCATGCCACCCAATCTTAGAATGCATTGACAACATGGGGCTTGTTAGAGGGAGCATTGCATACATCGTTGTTAGATAGATATTGGAGGACTTAAAGGTCCTGAGGAAGTGGGTCATTCTGTGAAACGGGTAGACCAACGTGTGGACCTTCATCAACTTTTCTCCTTTGAGCTCCATTCTTACTGACCTATTATATTCTTGCTTTATTGCATTTTATTCCTTGTTGAATATTTATGTCCTTCAGACATTTTTTCATATAAAAGTTTGTAATAATAAATTAATACATGTGTTCTAATGGTTTGTTGGAGGCCCATTTAAAATCCCATTTGCCTTGGTTTAAGAGAAAGTTTGTAGAATTGAATTTGGGTTTTAAGAGGGAAGGGTAATTTGTAGGGATGAGCTTGGGCACGGTAGAACTAGGATCTGAACCCACGTGCTCGAGCCCGTCAGGAAGTTGTCACCTGTACACAACCCTTGTATACGTGCAGCTCTGGGGTGGGGAATGCCCTACCACCGGTGATTGGGGACAGATTTCTTGCGGGTCAACATACATTTCTGCCAACTCACCATGGATCTTCAAGTAACAACCAAAAGCTTTAAATTCCAGCCTATCAGAGCCTAGCAGGACTGCCTCGACCACTTGCCGAACCAAGAGATCCCGCGTAGCTCTGAAATGTTGCACTTTTGGCTGTGATGTGATCACTCTGAATAAAAGCTTTCGGACGTTACTTGAAGATCCATGGCGTGTTGGCAAGTCGGTACATTGACCCTCAGTCTATATGAGGAACGTGTGCGAATATTGATTGTAAAGCCACCACCTGGGTTTGTATCCTAGACCGAAACACCTAGTCATTAGGCCAGATAGGCCACGTTGTCTTCAGGGTTCAACTTTTGAAGGGAAGTTCTCTCATTTTGAAGAGTCAATCTGGCCAAAACATCATCTTTTCAAACCCTCAGCAGATGGTTTCATTGGCATGGTGAGATATAACGGCTGTATCAACAGAAAATAAAAAAATAGAATTTCCCCATAATCAATGAAAATCCCAAAGTACAACTCCGTTACACAAAAGCCCCCACACCCATGTTTAAGGGAAGCCATGCAAAAAAAAAAACAAAGGTTGCTACGCATAAGACAACATCTTACAATGGCTGCTGATCTTAAACTCATCCAACAATTAAAATAAAAAAAAAAAAGTAAAGAAAAACAAATAATAAGAGTCCCCCAAAAAGTACAGCAAATAGTTTGCAAATAGAATTAAAGTAGAATTTCCTGACTGACCCTTACAGCAAAAAATGGTGGTTTTCTGTAACTTAAAATAACGACAGTATCAAAAGAAAATAAAAAAAAAAAAAAAATTCCCCATAATAAATAAAAATCCCAAAGTACAACTCCGTTACACAAAAGCCCCCACACTCATGTTTGAGGAAAGCCATGCAAAAAAAAACAAAGTTTGCTACAAATAAGACAGCAGCTTACAATGGCCGCTGATCTCAAATCATCCACCAATTAAAAATAATAATAATAATAATAATAAGAGTCCCCCAAAAAGTACAGCAAATAGTTTGATTGCACAAAAAGTTAGCAAGCAGAATTAAAGTACAATTTCCTAACTGACCCTTACAGCACAAAAAAATGGTTGTTTACTGTAACTTAAAATAACGGCTATATCAACATTAAATTAAAAAAAATAATTTCCAAATAATAAATAAAAATCCCAAAGTACAACTCCGTTAGACAAAAGCCCCCCCACACCCATGTTTGAGGAAAACCATGCAAAAAAACAAAGATTGCTACGAATATTGCAGCTGATCTCAAATCATCCACCAATTAAAATTAAAAAAAAAAAAAGTAAAGAAAAAAAAATAATAAGAGTCCCCCAAAAAGCACAGCAGCAAATAGTTTGCAAATAGAATTAAAGTACAATTTCCTAACTGACCCTTACAGCAAAAAATGGTGGTTTTCTGTAACTTAAAATAATGGCTGTATCAACAGAAAATAAAAAATATAATTTCCCCATAATAAATGAAAATCCCAAAGTACAACTCCGTTACACAAAAGCCCCCACACCCATGTTTGAGGAAAGCCATGCAAAAAAAACAAAGGTTGCTACGCATAAGACAGCAGCTTACAATGGCTGCTGATCTCAAATCATCCACCAATTAAAAATAAAAATAAAAAATGAAAAAAATAATAATAATAAGAGTCCCCCAAAAAGTACAGCAAATAGTTTGACTGCACAAAAAGTTAGCAAACAGAATTAAAGTAGAATTTCCTAACTGACCCTTACAGCACAAAAAAATGGTGGTTTACTGTAACTTAAAATAACGGCTATATCAACAGAAAATTAAAAAAAATAATTTTCCCATAATAAATAAAAATCCCAAAGTACAACTCCGTTACACAAAAGCCCCCACACCTATGTTTAAAGAAAGCCATGCAAAAACCAAAGGTTGCTACGAATAAGACAGCAGCTTACAGTGGACTCTGAAATCATCCACCAATTAAAATGAAAAATAATTGAAAAAAAAAAAAGTAAAAATGAAAAAAAAAAAATAAGAGTCCTCCAAAAAGTACAGCAAATAGTTTGGTTGCACAAAGAGTTAGCAAACAGAATTAAAATACAATTTCCTAACTGACTCTAAATGTGAAATGTGGCACATATTCTGTCATCTTATATCCAACCAGTAGATGGAGCTCTCATTCCTTTTTACATGTTGTCAGTTCTTACCTTCTATTCCAAAATGCCTGTTTTTTTTTTTTTACGGAGCTCAAATGCTCAAGCTACAATTTACAGCCGCAAGAAATAAATAAGTCAGAGCAGCACACAGGTCCAGGGAGGTATCAAATATCTATTTACAACAGTAGTACAAACATACTTATAGATGAGCTGTTATTGATTTTTTTTTTTTTACTCTCTCTGCAGGAAAATGAGGGTTCTACTGTTCCTGGGTTTGAGTGTGGCTCTTCTTTACTCAGTGGTGTTTGCCGACCACCACATGGGTGAGGGGAAAAAACCTGGAAACAAAGACAATCATGAGAAGAAAGGTGACCCCCACCATCACCACCACCATGGCCACCACCATGGTCATCACCATGGCCACCACCATGGCCACCACCATGGCCACCACCATGACCACCACCATCATTGTAACAATGAAACACTGGCCTGCCACAAATTAGCAGCTAGCAATACCAAATTTGCATATGACCTCTACAGGCAGGTAGCGGCGGACCATCCATCAGAAAACATCGTCCTTTCCCCAATCAGTATATCTGTGGCACTGTCTTTTCTGTCCGTTGGTGCCAAGGAGAAAACCCATGACCAGATCATAGAAGGCATTGGCTTCAACACCTCTGAAATTCCAGAGAAAGAAATTCATGCTGGCTTCCACCATCTGCTGGATGTGCTCAACGATGACAACAGTGAGCTTCAAATGGACATTGGGAACGGCATTTTCTTAAGTGAGAAATGGAAGTTCCTCGATGAATTTCTCGACAAGGCCAAGAACCTCTACGATTCCGAAGCCTTCACTGTAGACTTTACTAATTCTGAAGAGGCCAAGAAACAAATCAACAGCTACGTTGAAAAGGAAACGAACGGCAAGATTGTGGATGTGCTGAACAGTGTAGCCAAGGACGCAGCCTTCGTTCTGGTCAACTTTATTTATTTCAGAGGTAAGTCATCGAGAGTAAGTTATAGGAGAACATTTAGAACCTTGCACTCCCAGCAAGCCCCTCCTCCTTGCTAAAATGCAGCAATATTAAAAAAAAAAAAACACCTGTGGATGAAAATGTTACATAATATATTCACCTTTCCCCAACTTCCATGGTACCTAGGGGTGATGCCAACCTACTGCCAATAAGATCTTGGGGAATGTTGAGGGCACCAAAACTCAAGAAAAGATACAGCAGCACATTGCAAGATCATCTTCTCCTGAGATTGAGCTATTCAATGATCCCTTGAATCTTGCCAGCAGCATGATGACGTCAACCTCTAGGCAGAAACTGGGGAAGAGGAAGGATATCATCTTACATTTTACCCCCACAGGGATTTTTATTAGGTTTCATTGGATGGTTTAGAGAGAGGGGGGGTGGGCTGCCCTCAAAAAGTGAACCTTATGAATTTGGTGCAAGACCATCTTTTGGCATTGTAAGTGGCATCTGTCAGGGTGTAAACATCCAGGCTTCCATTTAGAAACTTACTGGGGTCAAGCAAAATTAAGGACGACACTAGATGGAAGCCTGGACCCTCCAACATGGCCCATTTCATACGGTAGAGAATATTCTTCTGGAGCCTTTTTTCTTCAAGTTTATGACCTAAAATTAACTCCTTTGCAAGAGTCCAGGCCCGATATTACAAAAAAATTGAAACAGAAGTTTATAACATTCTGTTCTTTGTGGAACTGATCTTGTCGGCGAATCCACAGTGCTTATCCCAAGGTAGGACCCACCTGTGCATCATTATTGGCCCATAAGCAGCTCAACCTTCAGGAGATAGGCCCTTATGCAGGCCATACATGGTTCGAATTCCGAATGATTTTTCATCCGAAAATCGGAAACGTTGTTCACTCGGTAATCCGATGGTGCCATCATTGATTTGGAAAATGGGCCGACAGAGTCATAAAGTTCCCATATAACAGGCAAAAATTCTGTTCCTTCCAGGTCACGGCTCGTGCGCATGTTCTTTTCAGAAAAACGAACGTATGATTTGACCATCATTGAGGCGAAAATCGGTCGTTTTTCACTAATTTTCCAACATGCCGATCACCGAAAAGGGGAGGAACCATGAAAATCAGCCGGTGCCATTGATCTCACTAACAGAGCGAAAATCGGCTGATTATTCTTAGGTCTGATTTTCGGACAAAAAATTGGTCGATTTTCAACCCATGTATGGCCGGCCTTAGGCCTCATTCACTGAGTAGCTGAGACCCATCGTCTGTGAAGGGGCCGTGTGATTACAGCTACTCATCCCAATTTGATAGGTGTATGGGTGAGCTGCCCTGAACCACAGTATACCCACAGTATACCCTCTTCTTCAGGGCTAGTAGCTCTGAGGAAGATTGGTTAGCCCTCGAAAAGCCCCACATGGAAGAAAAATATATCTGAAATATATTTAAAAAATATTCTTATCAAATATATTGACATATATTTAAAATGCCACAATTTCGGCCGTATTCAATATATTTCAAATAAAAAAAATATATATATATATATATATACTATGTGTGTGTGTGTATATATATATATATATATATATATATATATATACACTGTATATATATATATATATATATATATATATATATATATATATATATACAAAATATATGAAAGATATTTTTAGATATTTAAAAAAAATACATTTCAAATGTACTGTGTGTCTTTAAAAATACAAATCTACATTTTTGGAATGCATTTACAACAATTTGTAAAATTATATGTTAAAATTACTTTTTTAGATGTTTAAAAAAATCTGAAGAACGTTTTTAAAAAAAATATATATTTTTAAAAATATATTTTTTTTAAAATATATTCTTAAGATTTTTTAACATACTGTATATTTGTAAATGCATTCCAAAAATGTAGATTTGTATTTTTAAAGACGCACAGTATATTTGAAATGTGTATTTAACGGATAAAGGTACTGGCGAGCCAGAGATCAACCAGCAATTTGAGGGAGTGATGGGCTTCCTTATAAAGGCCGTCTGACACCAAACTGAGCTAATGCGTGCGTAACTATGCGCCAGTGTGCACGTGTGTTCTGGCTCACGTCCGTGCGCCAATGCGCATGGATTTTCGCCAGAGTGCATTTCTGCGGCCATGCAAGGTACTGGCAGGAATGGCAGGTCTCCAAGTACCTCTGCTGTTGACACCCCTGTGTAAATCTCTTTAGTGAGTTGTCGCCAGAGCACATGTTAGTTGATACCCTCACCTTTCCAATCAATTTCTGCCCCATTGATAATGGACAACTAGAGATGATGAATGGAATGGAACAAGGAACACCATCATTCTTCCAAATGAGCTATAAACCTGTGTAACGCCCTCCAAGTTAGTTAGATAGGGTTTTGGTTAGATAGAGGCCTGGGATGAGTTAGCCTGGGAGTGAGGCAGGAGTTCACCTCAGGACAGGCTGGGAAGTTCTACAGGTCAGGGCTTCTGGAGCCCTCCCACCGTTCCAGAAACTAGAGAACTTTCTGGAACTGGAGGGGGGGAGGAGGCCTAGATCTGCATTCTTGAGGGACCCTGGCCAATCACCTAGCAGGAGGTTGGGCATGGTGACTAGGGCAACCCTCAAATATGACATATCCTGGAGAGAGGGGGAAGTTGGGTGGAAGATGGATTGAGAGGAGGCTGGAGTGTGGAGCCTGGGAGGTGGTCCCAGGGAGGGGAGCCTACCTACAGGCAGGGTGCTGGACAGGAGGAACTCGACTCACCTAAGTAGGACACACTGAGCAGCAGTGAAGAAGCCAGCCCAGCAAAAGGCCTGAAGGCAGCTACCAACCCACCATGCTGGCAGGACAGTGTGAGGACTCCTGCAATCCCTAGGCCAAATAAGGAAAGGGGATAGTCAGGTGCAATGGCCAACTAGTCTTTATCCGGGACTGCTTAACTGCAAGATTTTGGGACCTCCTTGCTCAGGGATACCCCTCAGTACAGCTGGTAAAGAGGAGGGTCTGAGGAGGTACACCAAAACGGGACACTGCCATGTTTTTGCAAGTCCACATTTTTTGTATTTAGTTGCTGAGAGGTTCGCAGTCGGGTTCTGTAGTTCTTCGGCATCCCTTGTACCCCTAGATCCCATCCAATTTATTAACCCCTTAATAAAAACAACTGGAAACCAGCACAAGGACTTTTTAATGACGAGCACAAGTGTGGAAAGTGCGTGTTGCCTGGCCGTGCAAAGCTTAGGGAAACCCAGTCAAAATCCGGCGGCCCTTACGAGGGTAATGCTGCACCTGCCAAAGCCGTCTTTTCAGTGTCTGGTTTTCTGACACAAGTGCAGTTATAAGATAGGAAGAACTCATTTTTTTCCACATTATATATTTATTTTATCATTCATTCATTGGTAGGAAAATGGGAATATCCTTTTGAGGAGAAATTTACCGAAGAAGGAGATTTTCACGTGAGTAAGGATGAGACCGTGAAGGTGCCTTTCCTGTTTAAGACTGGCTTTTATAGCTGTGCGGTCTTAGATGATGCCACCGCCGTAGTCCTCCACTACAAAGGGAATGCCTCCGCCTTGTTCATCCTCCCCAACGAAGGCAAAATGGAAGAAGTGGAAGCTAACTGGAGGGATACAGTCAAGAAATTTAAAAAGTCCAATCACAGAGAGTAAGAGCACCTCTCCTTGAAACTGTTTATTACACGTTTTTTTCTCTCTATATATACTGTATATGTCATATGAAAAGAGAAGACTGAAGCAGACATTCTCAACCAGGGCAAGAGATCCATGGAATCCTAGGGTTCCTCCAGAAGTTGCTTGGGGTTCCTTGAGCTGTGCCTGATAGACCTCCCATCTGATGGTGCCTGCATACAGTGAAGGAAATGCCTATTTGCTCCCCTGCTGATGCTGAATGTTTGCCCATTCACACAGAAATGATCGGTCTAACAATGGAATGTTCGGTGTAACACTGAGAGACAGAATAGCAACAACAAATTCAGCAGAAATGCGTCTAACAAATGATGACTGATCTGCATGTTCATGAGGGAAAGAAGGATTTGATACCCTTCACAAAACATGACTTAGTACTTGGTGGCCAATCCCTTGTTGGCAATCACAGAGGTCAGACGTTTCCTGGAGTTGGCCCCCAGGTTTGCACACATCTCAGGAGGGATTTTGGCCCACTCCTCTTGGCAGATCCTCTCCAAGTCATTAAGGTTTAGTGGCTGATGTTTGACAACTCGAGCTTTCAGTTCCCTCCACAGATTTTCAATCAGATGAAGGTCTGGAGACTGGCTAGGCCACTCCAGGACCTTAATGTGCTTCTTCTTGAGCCGCTCCTTTGTTGCCTTGGCCGTGTGTTTTGGGTCATTGTCATGCTGGAACACCCATCCACCACCCATTTTCAATGCCCTGGCTGAGGGAAGAAGGTTCTCACCCAAGATTTGAAGGTACATTGCCCCGTCCATCGTCCCTTTGATGCGGTGCAGTTGTCCTGTCCCCTTAGCAGAAAAACACCCCCAAAGCAGAATGTTTCCACCACCATGTTTCACAGTTTGGATGGTGTTCTTGGGGTCATAGGCAGCATTCCTCCTCCTCCACACACGGCGAGTTGAGTTGATGCCAAAGAGATCGATTTTGGTCTCATCTGACCACAACACTTCCAACCAGTCCTCCTCTGCATCACTTATTTCCCTCATGAACATGCAGATCAGTCATCAATTGTTAGATGGATTTCTGTTGATTTTTTTTGTTGCTATTCTGTTTCTCAGTGTTACAATACACCGAACATTCGATTTTTAGACCGATCATTTCTTTGTGAGTGGGCAAACATTCAAAATCAGCAGGGGAGAAAATACACATTTCCTTCACTGTATACAGGCACCATCAGATGGGAGGTCTATCAGGTACGGCTCAAAGAACCCCTAGCAACTTCTGGGCAAGAGATCCATGGAATCCTAGGGTTCCTCCAGAAGGTGCTAGGGGTTTCTTGAGCCGTGCCTGATAGACCTTCCATCTGGTGGTGCCTGTATAGTTCCAGGGCCAAGACCACTTAGCATAACCAGCTGCAGAACATCAATTATTTGTTTGGAAATGTGACCCATTGTTGGTGTCGTGGAGGAATAGTGCCCCATTGCTGGTATTGGGAAGAAATGGTGCTCCATTGTTGATATCAGGGAGGAATAGTACCCCATTGTTAGTATCAGGGAGGAATAGTACCCCATTGTTAGTATCAGGGAGGAATAGTACCCCATTGTTAGTATCAGGGAGGAATAGTGCCCCATTGTTGGTATCAGGGAGGAATAGTACCCCATTGTTGGTATCAGGGAGGAATAGTACCCCATTGTTGGTATCAGGGAGGAATAGTACCCCATTGTTGGTATCAGGGAGGAATAGTGCTGCATTGTTAGTATCAGGGAGGAATAGTGCCCTATTGTTGGGATCAGGGGAAGGTATAATGCCCCATTGTTGATATTGGGGATGAATAGTGCCCCATTGTTGGTGTCAGGGGAAGGAATAGTGCTCCATTGTTGGTATCAGGGAGGAATAGTGCCCAATCATTGGTGTTAGTAGGAGGAATAGTACCCCATTGTTGGTATTGGGGCAGAATAGTGCTCCATTGTTGGTGTCAGTGGGAGGAATAGTGATCCATTGTTGGTATCAGAGAGGAATAGTGCCCCATCATTGGTGTCAGTGGGAGGAATAGTACCCCATTGTTGGTATTGGGGCAAAATAGTGCTCCATTGTTGGTATCAGAGAGGAATAGTGCCCCATCATTGGTGTCAGTGAGAGGAATAGTGCCCCATTGTTAGTATCAGGGTAAGGAATAGTGCCCCATTATTGGTGTCATTTGGAGGAATAGTGTCCCCATTGTTAGTGTCAGGGGAAGGAATAGTGCTCCATTGTTTTATTGGGGAGGAATAGTGCCCCATCATTGGTGTCAGTGGGAGGAATAGTGCCCCATCATTGGTGTCATTGGGAGGAATAGTGCCCCATCATTGATGTCAGTGGGAGGAATAGTACCCCATCATTGGTGTCAGTGAGGAATAGTGCCCCATCATTGGTGTCAGTGGGAGGAATAGTGCCCCATCATTGGTGTCAGTGGGAGGAATAGTGCCCCATCATTGGTGTCAGTGGGAGGAATAGTGCCCCATCATTGGTATCAGTGGGAGGAATAGTGCCCCATCATTGGTGTCAGTGGGAGGAATAGTGCCCCATCATTGGTATCAGTGGGAGGAATAGTGCCCCATCATTGGTGTCAGTGGGAGGAATAGTGCCTCATCATTGGTGTCAGTGGGAGGAATAGTGCCCCATCATTGGTGTCAGTGGGAGGAATAGTGCCCCATCATTGGTGTCAGTGGGAGGAATAGTGCCCCATCATTGGTGTCATTGGGATGAATAGTGCCCCATCATTGGTGTCAGTGGGAGGAATAATGTCTCCCTGTTGGTATCAGATAAAGGAACGTTTCCCCATCGTTGGTCTCATTTGTAGGTATCATGTCCCAATGTTGGTGTCATTGGAGGAAGCGGGAGAAATAGTGCCCAACAGACCAGATGAAGACAAGCAAAGGCCCTCATCCGGCCCCCGGGGCCCAGTTTGGAGACCACTGATTTACTACCTACTAAGGGTTGATAATGACTCCACAACTGCGAGGTGCCGGGCTTTGGTCAGCCAGCAGAACAGACTAACATTGTCCATTCATATGTTTTCCTTTGCAGGTATTCCTGTGTCATCGAGTGATAAGTTGTATTTCTTGCCCATCACCTCCCTGTTTCTTCTCCCCTCCTCCAGTCTAGTGAATTTGAGCATCCCCAAGTTTTCTTTTTTCGGCTCCTTTGATCTAAAAGAAGTTCTTCCTAAGCTGGGAATAGCTGATGTGTTTACCAGCAAAGCGGATCTTTCTGGAGTCTCCGGGGCTCCCAACCTGAAAATTTCACAGGTGAATTGTTATTTATTTTTCTGGATATAAATTTGGGGGGAGGGGGAGCGAGATCGTCAAAAAGAAATGAGGTAAGAGCGATGGTCTACCTGGATTCTCAATCGTTCAGGTGTTTTCCGATGATTGGAATCATTTGGGTTCCTATTCTGAGAATTTACAAAATGACCTTTTTATGTTAAATTTAATTTAGTGGCTTTCAGAATATATTTTTAGGGGGGTAGGGGTCATTAAAAGAAAAAAAAAATCAGGAGATTTGCACCCCGTAATAAAAGATCAGCTGTAAGATTACACAAATGCATTGCTTGGTGTTTTATATCAATTTACCTCCTTCATGACCAGGCCATTTTTTGCTATTCAGCACTGCGCCACTTTAACTGGCAATGGCTCGGACCTACTGGCAGTCCAGTTCGGACCATCAGCCCACCATTCTGCTGTGTTGGATCCTCACTAAGCTGCAGTCATTGGTTGTTAGGATTGCCGGCATCATAGCAACCAATGATGTCACGTGTGTGCCCCGCCTCCTGCAGCGTGCTTCTCTTCCTAGCTCCTGCCCCCGCCTGCCTCTAATGGACTCTACTGATCTATAGTGAGACTCTGATGTAAGGGGGCACTCTGACTGGGACACCTGATGGGGGCACTCTGACGGGGACACCTGATGTAAGGGGCACTCTGACGGGGACACCTGATGTAAGGGGGCACTCTGACGGGGACACTGATGTAAGGGGCACTCTGACAGGGACACTTGATGTAAGGGGGCACTCTAACTGGGACACCTGATGTAAGGGGGCACTCTGACGGGGACACGTGATGTAAGGGGGCACTCTGACGGGGACACGTGATGTAAGGGGCACTCTGTCAGGGACACCTGATGTAAGGGGCACTCTGACGGGGGACACCTGATGTAAGGGGCACTCTGACGGGGACACCTGATGTAAGGGGCACTCTGACAGGGACACCTGATGTAAGGGGGCACTCTAACTGGGACACCTGATGTAAGGGGCACTCTGACGGGGACACCTGATGTAAGGGGGCACTCTGACGGGGACACGTGATGTAAGGGGCACTCTGACAGGGACACCTGATGTAAGGTGGCACTCTGACGGGGACACCTGATGTAAGGGGGCACTCTGACGGGGACACCTGATGTATGGGGGCACTCTGACGGGGACACCTGATGTAAGGGGGCACTCTGACGGGGACACCTGATGTAAGGGGGCACTGTGGTTTTGGCAGCTGGTATATGGGAGCACTGTCATTGGGGAATCTGATATATGGGGACACCCTGATGGGGGCACCTGATGTAAGGCGCATCCTGATAGGGACACCTGATATGAGGTCACGCTGAAGGGGACACCTGTTTTAGGGGGGTACTCTGATGGGGACACTTGATATGAGGGCACACTGATGGGGAACCTCATGATGGTGACACCTTATGTATGGGGGCACTCTAATGGGGACACCTGATGTAATGGGGCACCCTGATAGGGACACCTGATATGAGGGCACACTGATGGGGCCACTTGTTTTAAGGGGGTACTTTGATGGGGACACTTGATATAGGGGGGCACTCTGATGGGAACATTTGATATGAGGGAACACTGATGGGAATCTCATGTATGGTGACACCTGATGTATGGGGGCACTCTAATGGGGACACCTGATGTAATGGTGCACCCTGATGGGGACACCTGATATGAGGGCACACTGATAGGGGAACCTCAAGTATGGTGACACCTGATGTATGGGGGGCACTCTGATGGGGAGACCTGTTTTAAGGGGGTACTCTTATGTGTGCCCCTAATACAAGGGGGTACACTGATGGGGACACCTGATGTAAGGGGGGCAACCTGATGGGGACACCTGATATGAGAGCACACTGATTGGGGAACCTCCTGTATGGTGACACCTGATGTAAGGGGACACTCTGATGGGGACACCTGATGTAAGGGGACACTCTGATGGGGACACCTGATGTAAGGTTGTTCTATTTTCTTTTACTTGAAAAGAAAGATTCGGACCTCGTCTGGAAGAAAATGTGAGCAACCGGACCTCCTTGAATTTTAATTCATTAACCCTGACCTACAGCATGCCTCCACTATGTGTTATGGAGAAGAGGAGAGGGGGAGAGTATTATGTAGTCCGGTGGGGAAAGCTCTACCAAGGCTGACAACACTTCTTCAGATTTCAGTAAAAGGCTTGCTGTTGTCATCTCAAGCAGGAAGTTAGGAGCTCACTGGATGGGGAATCTCATGTATGGCGACACCTGATGTATGGGGGCACTCTAATGGGGACACCTGTTTTAAGAGGGTACTCTTATGGGGGCACCTGATATAAGGGTGTACTCTTATGGGGGCACCTGATATAAGGGTGTACTCTTATGGGGGCACCTGATATAAGGGGGTACTCTTATGGGGGCACCTGATATAAGGGGACAACCTGATGGGGACACCTGATATAAGGGGCACCCTGATGGGGACACCTGATATGAGGGCACACTGATGGGGGAACCTCATGTATGGTGACACCTGATGTATGGGGGGGCGCTCTGATGGGGACACCTATTTTAAGGGGGTACACTGATGGGAACACCTGCTATAAGGGGCACCCTGATGGGGACACCTGATATGAGAGCACACTGATTGGGGAACCTCATGTATGGTGACACCTGATGTAAATGGGAACTCTGGTGGGGACACCCATGTACTTGCAGCATTTTGTAAAGGGAGAACACATGGGGAGTTGCGCATATATTTCAGGGATGTCGTACATTTTTTTTTCCCTGGAAATATATTTTATAAACTTGATGTCAATTGGTTGTTTTTTTTTCCCCTCTGCAGGCTGTTCACAAAACTAAGATCACCGTAGATGAGAAGGGGACAGAGGCGGCCGGGACCACTGTACTGGAGGCCATCCCCATGAAACTTCCTATGCAGGTCACTATGAATCGTCCGTTCTTATTCAGTATTTATAACCACGAAACCAGAAGCGTCCTCTTCATGGGGAAAGTTGTAAACCCGGCAAAATAGTTCCCTGCGTGTGGCATTTCCGAAGCTTTAATAAAGATTATTCTTTTGGTTTAACACGTCTCGACTCCTTTATGTGCGGCATGTTGTGGGCGATCTTTAGAGGAACCCTTTTCCATCATAGCCGTGCGGATGGTTGGGTTCCCTGGCTCCTAGTGATAGCAACCATTCAGGCAATACCGCCCCATCTGACACACCAAGGCTGGAGGAAAAGATTCCCCCTCCCCCCCAAAAAGACAACGGGTAAACGAGATTGCTGAAAAAAAAAATGTCTATTGCACTTGCGAAGGTAAACTCGTCTCTCTAATAAAGGTAACCCCCTCCCCCGGTTATGTAGCACCCTCCTAGAGAGGTTGATAGGAACATTGAGTTTTTGGCTTGGTGGTAGTTGGGTCTGTTCTGTTTCTAAAGTTGTGCACTTGGTATTCTCCTAAGCTCAGTTGGGTTGTGATCTCTCACTCTTGCCAGTAGGTGTCACTGTCTATTGCACTTGGTATTCTCCTAAGCTCAGTGGGGTTGTGATCTCTCACTCTTGCCAGTAGGTGTCGCTGTCTATTGCACTTGGTATTCTCCTAAGCTCAGTGGGGTTGTGATCTCTCACTCTTGCCAGTAGGTGTCGCTGTCTATTGCACTTGGTATTCTCCTAAGCTCAGTTGGGTTGTGATCTCTCACTTTTGCCAGTAGGTGTCACTGGCTATTGCACTTGCGAAGGTAAACTCGTCTCTCCTATCAAAGGTAACCCCTTCCCCGGTTATGTAGCACCCTCCTAAATAGGTTGATAGGAACATTGAGTTTTTGGCTTGGTGGTAGTTGGGTCTGTTCTGTTTCTAAAGTTGTGCACTTAGTATTATCCTAAGCTCAGTGGGGTTGTGATCTCTCACTCTTGCCAGTAGGTGTCACTGTCTATTGCACTTGGTATTCTCCTAAGCTCAGTGGGGTTGTGATCTCTCACCCTTGCCAGTAGGTGTCACTGTCTATTGCACTTGGTATTCTCCTAAGCTCAGTGGGGTTGTGATCTCTCACCCTTGCCAGTAGGTGTCGCTGGCTATATTTTGGAACTTGCACTTATAGGAGTACTCCATGCCCCATACCCCTCCCCAGTTACAAGTGTTACCAGCATTACAACCAAATTAAGACATCCCCTAGACTGATAATTGGGTCAGTGTGCAGGAAGTTGCTATTGCATGTGCCGACAGCCTCTGCAGAATCAGGAGAAGAACTTTGGTCCTCCTCTGTGTGACTGTACTTTTATTACATTTTATTACCATCAGCCAGCAGCCCTTTTGGGGGGGGGGGGGGGGGGTGCCACTAAAATAATGACAACATTGTCATCTGATCCTCCAACACACATAACCACTGCACCGGTAACCGTCACTGATAAAAAATGGAAAAAAAAAATGCATCTGATGACCCTATGATTGTGACGGGAGTCACTTTGGGTGGGGGGCCCATGGAACACAGCTCACTTTGGGAGTGGTGGGGAGACCCCTGTCTCAGCTCCCCATATCCCTCTTATGTGTAAGTCACCCTGTGCCTGTTAGGGGTACAGGGTGATCTGTCCTAATATTGTGTACATGTCTAGGAGATAGGTGGGGGTTGTGGAATGTTTAATGTCATGTGGCTGCATCCCATTGTTCTATTGTTTGTCTGGTTTGGTAGCAAACTATTATGGGATGTATGTGTTTATGTGTATAAGCTTAGTGGGGGGGGTGTCTCCAGCAGCCCTCCCTCCTGATGGGACTGTCTGCTGGTGTGAAGTTTGAATACCTGTGTGTCTCTTGTTACTAAATGTAGATTGCCCCACCCTGTGTCATTATGCAGGGAGGGGGGATTGTCCCCTGAGTGTATATATCTTGTATCTGTGTTCAAATAAAGTAGTCTACCTCCTGGTTTACTTCACATCTGGTGCCGTCTGGATCTTGGGGTAACAATAGCCAGAGTCACTGGTCTCGTGTTCTAGAGCCTGAGAAGCAGCGTCTTGACGGACATACCCAGTCGTGGGTGTCTGGGGTCCATTACAATGATTCCCTGAGGCTACCCAGGAACTTAACTAACTAAATGCAGTTCTAAAGCTGGATGCACAGTACATTCACTTTAATATTGCTATACATGGTCCTCAATCAGCAGTACAGAGGTAACAGGCTCATCCGGTGCAAAATGCCATAGCTTTATGACCACCCACTTAATAATAAGGTCCCCCAAAGCAGCCCTGACCTACTGCTGCATGGGCTCCACTAGACCTCTGAAGGGATCCTGTGGTATCTAGCACCTAGCGGTCAGTAGCAGATCCTTTAAATCTTGTAAGATGTGAGGTGGGGCTTCTGTGGATCAGACTTGTTTTTCCAGCACATCCTGCAGAGGCTCGATTGGATTGAGATCTGGAGAATTTGGTGGTCAAATAATCTCCACAAACTTGTTGTGTTTTCTCAAACCATTCTTGAATTCTTTAGACCAGGACACTGCTCCATAGTCCAGTTCTGATTCTCATGTGCCCATTGCAGGCACTTATGGTTGTGGACACGGGTCGGCATGGGCGCCCTGACTGGTCTGTGACTACACAGCCCCATACACAGCAAACTGTGATACCCTATGTGTTCTGACACCTTTCTATCAGAACCAGCATTCACTTTTCCAGCAGTTTGAGCTCTAGTAGCTCCTCTATTGGATCGGTCTACATGGACCAGACTTCCCTCCCCACCTCCATGAATGAACCTTCCATCCCCATCTCCATCAATGAACCATCCCTCTCCACCTCCAACACTGAGCCTCTCCCCCCACCTCCATCAATGAGGCTTTCCTTCCCACCTCCATCAATGAGATTTCCCTCCTCACCTCCATTAATGAGCTTCCCCCCCATCTCTATCAATGAACCATCCCTCCCCACCTCCACCAATGAGCCTTCTCCCCATCTCCATCAATGAGGTTTCCCTCCCTACCTCCATCAATGAGCCTGTCAGGGATCTCCTCGATCCCCGCCGCGATGGTCCCGGCGCAGGCGCAGTGCACCGCCCTGTGCAGGGACACGGGCACTAGGTCCGGGCCGGCCGCGGCGTTCGAGTTTGCGCATGCGCAGTAGAAGCCGCGGCCGCCCGCTGGTCACCGATGGCAGCGCAGGGCGGGATATTTAAATGGCCCTGAGCTGTCATTCAGTGCCTTCTGGTCTTTCCTGCATCCTGTGATTCTGCGAACCTGTACCCTGTAAGTTATTGACCCGGATTGTATCTGACCTTGCTAATTTCTCCTGTCCTGACCCTTGCTTTGCCTGACCTCTCTCCTGGATGCCCCCTATTGGATTTGACCTGCTGTTGCTGACCTGGCGTGTGACCCCCGACCATTCTCTGACCACTGCCTTGTACCTTACCGTCCTCTCTGTTACCGACCCGGCCCGTCTGACCTTGCTCATCCATCCATCCGTCCATCCCTCGCAGTGGGGTCTTCTGACCTCCTCATATCAGACTCTTCCCCGTGGGAGCCACGACCTGGTCTCGGGGGGCTCCAAGTCCATCCCCACCATCAGGGGCCCTGGTGAACAAGCACCCTGGGACTTAGATTCCGTGCGCTGGGGACGCCTATTCAGTGGAGTGCTAGTGGTACTGCCGGGCGGTCCCTTACAGAGCCTTTCTTCTCCACCTCCATCAGTGAGCCTTCTCTTCCCACCTCCATCAATGAGCCTTTCCCACCTCCTTCAATGAGCCTTCCCCCCACCCCCATCAGTGAGCCTTCCCTCCCCACCTCCATCAATGAACCATCTCTCCCCTCACCTCCATCAATGAGTCTTTCCCCTACCTCCTTCAATGAGCCTTCCCTCCCCACCTCCATCAATGAGCCTTCTCTCCCCACCTCCATCAATGAACCTTTCCTACCTCCTTCAATGAGCCTCCACCCTACCCCATCAATTAGCCTTCCCTCCCCTCCTCTATTAATTAACCATCTCTCCCCCCACCTATTTTAATGAGTCTTGGCCACCCATGATCCTGTCTCCAGTTTTTCCTTGGACCACTTTTGGTCAGTCATGACCACTGCCCACCAGGAACATCCCAAAAGAGCTGCAGAAGTCCACATGGTCAACTGACCGAAAGAGACAAAAGGACATTGCGCAGGACTGTAACCCGGAATAATAAACTGTAGAGCTCAATCTCAGTCCTGTGAAGACTGAGTCCCATGTGGCTAACGGTGCCTGCAGTGCCTCCCATCCAGGAATACTAACCCCCCCCCCCCCATAGAAGGAGACCTCTGAACAGGAGGTATGTATGGGGGTGGAATACAGACAAGTACAGGGGGACCAAAAACAAGGTTCTAGGCTACTGTGTGGTATTATTATTAATATTATACAGGGTTTATATAGCGCCAACAGTTTGCTCAGCGCTGTACATTACAATGGCAGACAATACACAAGACAGTACAATAGCAATACGATTCAATACACGAGGGGTTTGAGGGTCCTGCTCCTTGGAGCTTACAATCTAGGAGGGAGGGGATAGTGGTACAGGAGGAAATAGCTGTGGGGGGTGGAGTGGTAGGAAGAGTGGAAGAGTGCGCCTAAAGATGAGGAGAGTAGGTGATAGTCTGATGGATTGGGTTAGAGAGTTCCAGAGGATGGGGGAAGCCCTGGAGAAGTCCTGGAGACGGGCATCGGAGGAGGAGACCAGTGACCTAGAGAGTAGGAAGTCTTGTGAGGAGCGGGAGAGTACGTTTTGGGTGGTATTTGGATACCAGGTCAGTGATGTAGTTTGGGGCAGTATTATGAACAGCTTTATACGTCAGTGTTAGCAATTTGAATTCTATCTGTTGGGCAATCGGAAGCTAGTGGAGGGATTGGCAGAGGGGGGAGGTGGATATGGAGCGGTTGGTGAGGTGGATGAGTCTGGCCACAGTATTCAGGATAGACTGAAGCGGGGATAGACTGCGGTGGGGTAAGCCGATGAGGAGGGAGTTGCAGTAGCCAAGTCGTGAGATAATGAGGGAGTGAATGAGTTGCTTTGTAGTTTCCAGGGTTAGGAACG